GGAGCTGAAACGTGGAGAACTACAACAACTACCATCAAGAAGGTACAAGTATTTATCAATTGATGTCTACGCAAGATACTCAATATCCTTTGCTCGGATACGATCAGCCACAGATTTTTGTGGGAGAGAACCAGCCAGCTTCCATTTGAAGTGGGGATTAGGAAAAGATGATGGAAGTGGATAGAACATATATTAAGCGAGTCATCAAACTGCATCACGAAGCAAGCGCTAACTTGGAATCCTGAAGGGAAGTGGAAAAGAGGAAGGCCAAAGAACACATTACGTCGTGAAATTGAAGCAGATATGAAAAGAGTGAATGACAACTGGAAGGAGCTGGAAAGGATTGCCCAGGACAGGGTTGGATGGAGAATGCTGGTGAGCGGCCTATGCTCTTTTATGAGGAGTAACAGGCGTAAGTAAGTAATAAGTAAGTACTTTTAATCTATTCGAATTACACAGTAAAACAATGAGTGAAATTCATATTTTTTTTCTGAAAAAGCTATCAAAAATTGATTTATAATTACTAGTTAATTCAATAAAGAGCAGTAACTTGGAGAACGGCGAAATTTATCATCCAGAAGATACAAGTGTTTATTAACACTTGTTTACGCAAAATACATCGGATCCGTTGGCCAGACACTATTAACAAAAGCCTATTGTGTGAGAGAACAAATCAACTCCCAACTGAAGAGGAAATTAAGAAAAGACGTTGGAAGTGGATAGGACACATATTGAGGAAAGCACTCAATTGCTTCACAAGACAAGCCCTCACTTGGGTTCTTCAAGGCCAAAGGAGAAGAGAAAGACCAAAGAACACATTACACTGTGAAATGGAGATAGATATGAGAAGAATGAACAACAATTGAATAGAAGTAGAAAGGAAAGCCTAGGACAGACTGGTTTGGAGAATGCTGGTCGGCGGCCTATTCTCCACTGGGAGTAACAGACGTAATTAAGTAATTCAATAATTCAAATAACTCTTTACTAATCAACTGATCATTCTGAACTTCTTCGAAGTAAATACTAAAAGTAACAAACATTCTAGAGCTGTAGCTTGTGTCATGTAAATAAAATTCAATCTTGAATGAACCATATTCTCTACTGAAACTTTGGGTAATAGTCAACAAATATGACCTTATTGATATGATGAACCAAGTTAAGTTAAATATCCAGTGATAACCAAAAAACACAGGATAGTGGTTTCATCCCAATTTGAAGCACCTCAATAATTTCCATCCACTACTCCACCACAAGAGATCGTACCTATGAACCCCAATCGTCAGCACGAACTCCTAATCTCTAGACCACTGAGTTGGAATCCAACAGTGTACGTGCTTAACTTCAATCAGTTCGCATGTTTGGTGTGAGGCAGTTACTTGCAGAGGACACTGCTCAAGTACAGTGGTTTACAGTTTATGCGTTTTTGCTCACGACTGAGGATCGTGTGTTTTACCCCCTGTGATGGGGTCGAGAATCCTCATACTAAGAAAATGTCCATTCACTGTTTCACAGTTTTTATTGGGTACCTAACATGTTGGTTCGAAATTTTAACAAAATTAGAAAATCTCTACAAACATTTACACTGATAGATACTACCTTATTTGATCTATTAGCTTGAGCAAATTTTAATGACTTATTTAGCTGAAAGTGCTTGAATACATAGGAGCATAATCTAATAATGAGTACATTCTTTTTAAGCATAAAAAGATGAGAATCCATTTATTATAAACGTTAACTCCAACACACCAGTTGACTTGATAATCGACAACATTGTTAAAATAGATGGTTCAATTTAAGGACTGCACTAGATGATGGTAATCTCTTATCATCTTCGAAACTTGACTGATAAAGCTAAAAGAGCATTGTTTAAGCACATATAGGTTCTAACGATTGATCAGGAAATACATTGTATTTTAATATAGAGCAAGATAATGTGCTGTGATATCACGTTTCAAATTGTATTTTTTTTATTAACTAAATCGACATTCAAAGGTTTTAAGAAATAAATCCCAGTAGCTTAAGTGAGCTAATGTACCATTTATCACGAAAAGTTTAACTGTGTTTTACTATTTAAAGTTAGGAAGTCAGTTTGTACAAACCGATAGAAAAGTCATTGAATTTAGTTCATAGAGTATATTATTAAACATACAAGCTTTCAAGTAAGTATGAACAAAAGATTATTCGGGTATTAATTAATTTCAATAGTTGAAATCATGAGTCATTTGAAGCTAGACCACCATGGGAAACCTGGAAGCACTGGACGGCCGTTTCGTCCTAGTATGGGTCGACTCAGTTGTGCGCATCCGCGATACCACCCCCGCGGTATTCAAACCCAGGACTGATAGGTCAGATGATATCAACTCATTGAAGACAGTGGTGTACGGTTTTGCAGTTTCGTGGATTGATTGAAGTTAAACATTACCACCGTTGAATGACAACTCAGTAGTCTAATTGTTAAGCGCTCGAGCGCTAGACTGATAGGTCCTCGGTTGGAATCTCGCGGGGGCGGGATTGTGGGTGCGCACTGCTAAGGAGTCCCATACTAGGACGAAACGGCCGTCCAGTGCTTCCAGGTTTTCCATGATGGTCTAGCTTCAATTGACTCATGGTTTCAAGTATTGAAATAGCTAAAAATCTCCACAAAACACTTCTGGTATCAATTAATTGTTAATTGTTTACAAATCACTAACTGTCCTTCATAATATTGTTCAAATTATAACGGTATAAGACTAGACACAGTATTACATCTTTTCACTTTATCTTTCGAACATTTCTTATGAAAAAAACTTTATGAAACTAGATATGTAGGTGAAACTAACAGAAAACATTTAATTCCAAGTAAAGATTGCCACTGAAGAAAATATCATTTATAATGAGAGCAACATTGAAACATGGTAAACAATACTTCATGCAAATGATTCTTTTACAGTGACCTTAACCAGATCAAAAATTGAAAACTAGGTAGAATCGGACATCTGTTTCGTTCTAGTATATGACTCATCAGCAGTACCACCTCCATGATCCCAATGTAGAGTAAGCCAAAAACCTTTGGTCTCACATGAGAACATCTGAACTCTAGACTTTTAAGCTGGCAACAATCGGTATGCATGTCGAACGTGAATAAATTCGGTGTATTTCATAATTATCTGCCATCTGTTGCAGTGAAAAACTGTCTTGCATCTGACATGGTTGGTAATCATTCATTCACAATTGACTTTAGCGAAACCAATAGGGTAATAATAACTTTTTTGACCGTTAACAATTAATGGTTCAAATATTGCATGTTGTTGAGTTTTTTTTAATTTAACCCTATTCCATAAACATTTTGCTATATTCCTAATCGCTAAACTCAAATTGAATGGTGATATGTTTTTCAGTTTTTCTCTTTCAATTGATCAATGCCCTTTAATTATTTAATATGGATTTTTACATTAATAAATCAAAAACCGATTTTTCGAAATGTTGATATGTTGAATGTTGTAAAGTTAAAAACAAACCAGAAATATAAGCAAAGATGGATAGTGGCTAGTAGTGGAGCCCAGGATGCGCGTTTCGTCCTATTTGGGGCTCGTCAGCTAAATATACCTGCATCTCAAAGTAGATGTTCACTCTGGCATTTGAATCCAGTATCATTGGCTTCAAACGCTATCGCGTTCCCGGATTGAACATCAGCTCTGGGATGAAGATACGTTTAGCTGACGAGTCCCAAATAAGACGAAACGCGTGTTCTGAATTATACTGCTAACCATTATCCATGCTTGCTTAGAATCCTTGTGACTTAAGGCAATACCGACGCAATTTGTACAGAATGCACAAATGCCAATAAGAGACTGATCAATTGCAGTCCTAAACGTCAATGGAAAGATTCAAATAAAGAATACCCAGTAAATTCAAAACAGAGATTCATAGTGAGTAAATCATGATCTATCAATTTCTTCATATATACATATATATATTTTAATTATTAACTTTATAGAAGTCGACTGATAATTTCAATGATGTTAATCTCTTCCTTTGTTTTCATATGTAGAGAATTCTCTCATTAAAAATGGATCAATAACAAGATTTTTTAACGGCAGTACACTTTTTCGCTATAGTAACTAAGATTTTGTCATAACTTATTGTTATAGAATTTATTCAAAGTGACAACAAGATTGATTTATACTGAAACATTCTAGGGTATCAAGAAAGATGGATGGTGGCTAGCAATGGAATTCAAGACGCACTTTTCATCCTATTTGGCATTCAAATAAACAACGCCCAAAGAATTCATTCTAGGGTATATTTAATTATTTATTTAATCAAATATTCTGCTGTTTACTTATACCTACATTCTGATAAAAAAATCTGATTTCTTGTCTGAGTTACACATTTACTTTTATTCTATGCATAGGTCAATTTATTTATGAAACGATTGATCATTGGATAGTGATTAATGTCATGTCCTGCTTAATGCAAATCATATTCGATCGATAAATTTAAAATACGATCACTAGTCTAAATGACTTAATATCAAGTACATTAGGTTAAAATGCAAGATGATAGTTGAAGATAGTCGACAAAAAATCCTGAACTTAGATTTTATGCTATTTGGTACACTTCATCAATAATGTATGTTTTATCTTTAAAGAATTAATACTATCAGTTTGGATTCAATCTTATGTCATTTAGCTTCACAGTTAAAGTTCAAATCTATAAATGATTAACATCCTATAAAATAGTTTATATGAAAGAATTTTTCAGTAGTATATAAATTTATTTATATCATCAAAATAATAAACTCTTATTAAACAAACTAACAAAATTCTCTTGCATAATGATTCCCTTTATTCATTTATAGATTGATTGTATGATTATATTATAATATACGATTTGTCTATTAACTAATCGATTGTCTGCTTTTAACCAATCACTTCTATATTTTACATTTCAATGTAGCCTACGCAAATTAGTTAATAATTCTGTGCCATAATAATAAGAATATTATTATTATTATTATCATTATCATTGTTATTATTATCATTAGTGATATTAACCAGAAGCTTTAGTCATAGGATCATTAAAGATTTACAAACAAGGTGAATTAATTTAGTAAGTTAATAACTATTGTATTTAGTTGATAATTTAGTAATTATTCTTATGTTTGTTACTATGTAATTAAGTTTGTTTGTTTGTTTTGTTTCGGTATAAATTTTTAATGTAACTATTATCAGGGATTTATTTATTACAAAATACTAAGCTAATGCAATTCATATAATAATAATAATGATCAAATTACCTGATTATATTTGATATCAATATTAGATCTTTTTTTTTTTTGGTATAATATAGAATATTCAGCACAAAGTATTTGAATATGGTTCATTTTCTTATTTGTTGATTGATCTTAATGATAAATATTGATTGATCACCAGTTAGTTGTTAATGATTCAGGAATCAACATCTGAATAATGTACATTCTTTCCAATGTTTAATGCCAGCAATCATGATGTCTCTGATTGAACTCTTTTTCTTTTAACTTGTACAAACAAATGTCTTAAAATTTTCAAAAACTCACCTGAATAAGTTATGATGAAATTAATAGGCATAATGATGTGTTAAAACAAACAAGAAAACAGATAACTTATTGAAATATCCAAATGATAGGAACAGGTAGACTAGATATTCAAACAGGTCACCTTGTGAAAGAATATTAAGTCGATAAATAATAAATAAAATAATGTTTTGTCATATCTTATTAAATTACTCAGTTACAGGTTAATTAAAATTACCAATTATGAAACAGTCTTTTATAAATCATATCAAACTATAAGTAAACTCAATAATAAATATACATTTTGTTATATCTCAATGAGTAGAAACAAGTTGTATTTCTGATGTTTCGTGACTTACTATGAGCCACTTCTTCAGAGTAAATCTTTTTACCGAAAATTAATATTTGTCCCAATTATTCATGTTATATTACGTAAACATATAATAATTTACATTTTTACGCATAAGTCTATGATTAAACAGAAAACAAAATAGTTGAATTCATGAATCGATCTAAGCTAGACCATTATTGAAAACCTGAAAGTACTGCATGAAATGTTTATTTTAAAAAAAAGATTTGAATAAAATATTCTATATGAAATCCGACTCACACGTCCGTGTCGTGCCTCCTGGATAGTGGAACGAATAACTCATGAACTTACGTGAGTGGTAACCCGGGTGGTGGAGATCGGGCTAATCACCCGCTCTTACAGATACCCAAAAATCGATTACGAAACTCACGGAGAAACACAGCACAATTATATTTGGATTGGAAAACGATGAAAAATTTTCAAAAGTGTTGCATGTAACACACGGAGTTGGTCGTCATAGGGCAAACTTCAATGGAATACAAAAACAACTATTTTAGCCCCGGTAGTTGTGCCGTGCTTCGATGTGGCCTGTTTCTCTCCAGAAGAGCCTAATAGGCTTCACCAACCTATTTGACTGGGAGGGGGATATGAAATCGTCCTAGTGCGGGATACTTCAGCAGTGTATATCAACGATCCCACATGGGGGTATCTCCACAAATGCTCATTCTGAGAAGGTAAAATACTTAAAGAATAGTTCTTTTTAAAACCCCTTTTGTTCACTTTTATAAATAAATATAAATTTGCAGCAATATAATAAACTGGCAACTTTTGTCGTTAATTTAACCGTTCCACTACACTAGTAGAAAACATTTAATAGTGATTGTATAAGTAATTAAAATTTGCTAATTTGTTTTAACTGTCTAATAAAAAGTTTATGTATATACAGACCGTATTCGTAGATGTAAAAAATTGTTTCACATTTACTCATCGCGTTGTCATTCATTAAATCCTCATATCAATTTTAGTAATTTAATAGTTGAATTGATGAATCAATTAAAGCTAGATCACCATAGAAAACCTGAAAGCACTGGACGGCACTTTCGTCCTAGTATGAGACTTCTCAGCAGTGCACACCCACGATCCTGCTCGCAGCATCCAAAACCAGGACCTATCAGTTTCATGCGCGAATGCTTAATCTCTAGACCACTAAGTCTGCATCCAACGATGTTAATGTCTAACTTCAACCAATCCAATTCTGATAATATCAATTTTAAATGAAATTGTTTTTTCAAATACCCGATAATTATATATTATACCGAAGAGAGATGAAATATGTATTTCATTTCATTTGTGACAAATATCAAACTTTTAATGTTTTGGTCGGAATGACAAAACTCCAATTTCAAGATAGAATTAAATGTATAGTCGATAATATGAGAGCGAATGATATAAATCTCTAAGGTTTAATGATGGACAATATAAATTAAACTAGAATTATGTAATTATTAGTGATATTTTCAATGTAAATATCAAATTTAGTCACTATGATACATGAGCATTACATGGATAATCTTCGTGTGAATGGCTTCGGGCTTTGTATATTAAACAATTCATATGTTTGTATAATGATTTCTGCTTGTATAAACTGACTAATTTTAAGTTAATTCTTGAATGGTAAAAGAAATAAGACTGATAAAATTACGAGACAATTTCATAAAATGATTTGGGATAAAAGTTGAAAAAAAATTATCCCAAGCACTCAGAACACATATAATGAGGTAGCGCTTTTAATGGCTAAACATTTTGTTTTACAATGGAAGTTGTACATTTTTTTAATAAATAAGTTTTAACTAATTCGTTTGATCGGTAAAGTTAGATAATAACCGTTAGTGAAAGCTTAGGATAAGCGTTTCATACTGTCTGGAACTGTTAAAAATAACATCTTACTCACTGCTAGCTGTTATTCTAACTTTGATAAAAATTTGTGATTTAAATGTCAATATCAAGAGAACTAGTTCACTACCCACATATACCAGTTGTGATTGATCATTTCTAGTGCTTTATATCTACAGAGAATAAATACAAACTGTTACAGATACAATTCCCCTTCATTTATTTAACATTTCTTCTATCGTGTTTCCTGTGTCACTGCTCTTGATTTCATAGTTAAGGCTATCATTTGATGATAATTTTATCAAATTAGAAAAATACAGTCTAAAAGAGAAACAACCTTAACACTGGAGAGACAAAAAATTACCTTCACAATTCATGATATTTTAATTTATCAATACAATTTATTACTGTCACATAAAATTTAATTCAATCAGAATTTTTAGTACCCATAATGAAAATCATTGAGTTAGTACTTGTGTTATTTAAGTTACTTGATGATTATCAGTTAGAATCCAGGATAAATCTTTGATTTTATTTCGAACTAATCAACATGATATACTTATATCACAGTGTTGATGTTCATAATGAAAAACAAGAACCCAGTACCTTTCACTTCAAACGTCAAGGTGTTGTAGCTTACAAATCTTTACAAATGAAATTCATATTCGTTGCACAGATTAATAGCTCTCTGGATTCGATATATCTCGGTGAAGTTTGAGTCGAAAGGAACAGGGTTTGAATCTCGGTATGAACATCACCAGTTAGATACAGTAACATCCAAATAACTAATCTCATAGAAAATAAAATCAAATGTCTTAAATCCAACTCTAAACCTCTAGGGTTCATTTTTTACTAATAGTCTAAGATCAATCGGCAATAGTGAATTATTGGAGACTGATTAATTACAGCCCATAGCATTAACAATGAGAAAATATTAATCTTTACTAATATACTTGTAGTATGTTTTTTTTTAAAACAAAGTTAATCATATCTCCCTGTTTGTTTATTTTCACATACATACTTACTTATTTTCAGTAGTACAATATTTACTAAATTGTTATGTTAAATTGTATGACTCCATGATGACGAAAAAGACAATCACAAATGTTTACATTGATAAATATATATATATATATATATATATATATATATATATATATATATGTAACTATGTATTTTTGCCTGATTTTTTGTCATTCTGATCTATATATTGGAAGTGCATTACTCTTTTCTTATTTTCTAAAATATGATTCATTTTCCCAACAACGGCAACAACAAAAAAAACACCAGATACATATATTCGAATTGTTTACTCTTTCATTGATGAATCAGCATGGAAAAAGAATAACTAGAAAATATCATTATATAGCTATAGTGTTGTACATAGTTTTAGTCGTTTCAATATCCAGGGTGGAAAAAAATTATCCCATTATATATACAAGAAATAATAATTACATTTTCATTTTTACCCTTAACCACTTGTTTTCCTAGTGCTTTATCATCATTATTTTGACCTCACATTTTATTTCCTTCTAGTTTGTCTTGATTTGAGGGTTGTAAAAATTTTTTAACAAAGAAAAAATAATGCAACGTCCACATTATATGGAATAATTACTTACTTACATACTTAAGTTTGTTACTCCTGTTAGACCATAGGCTGCTGACCAGCATTCTCTAAACCACCATATCCTGAGTCTTCCTTCTTAGTTCTATCCAACTGTTGTTCATTCTTCTCATGTTGGTCTCCATTTCTCCGCGTAATGTGTTCTTTGGTCTTTCTCTGTTCCTTTGGCTTTGAGGATTGCATGTGAGGGCTTGCCTTGTGACGCAGTTGAGTGATTTCCTCAATGTGTGCTCCATCCACTTCCAGTCCTTCTTCCTGATTTCTTCCTCCGCTGAAATCTGGTTTGTTTTCTCCCATAGTAGGTTTTTGCTGATAGTGTCTGACCAACGGATCCGATGTATTTTGCGTAGACAACTGTTAATAAGCACTTCTATCTTCTGGATGATGGCTAACCAGAAAAAAATTATCCAAATATGGAACAATAGAACCTCATAACTTTTATACTTATAAATGTTGAAATCGTATATATTTTTATGAATGGTACCAGGGAAAACAAGGGAGCACTGTTTTGTCCCAGTATAAGATGATTCAACAATGATTATCCACAATCATATGAGAATTCTTTCAAATGATTTATCATTTCTCTAAACAATAAGAAATAATAGTACACGTTTATGAATAGTTACCTTTATTTATTCTCAGAAACTGACTAGAAATTTCACCCTGACCTTAATAATTTCATATTTCATTTTGTCTCACGTCTGTCAAATACTCAGTATCATTATTATCAA